AGTTTCTAGAGATGACCAACACAATAACTGCAATGAAAACTTCACTGGATGAGGGCCAGCCCCGTGGCTTAGCGGTTAAGTGCGTGTGCTCCACTGCGGCAGCCCGGGGTTTGCCAGTTCGGATCCCGGGTGCGCACCAACGCACTGCTTGTCAAGCCATGCTGTGGCGGCATCCCACATAAAGTGGAGGAAGATGGGCACAAATGTTAACCCAGGGCCAGTCTTCCTCAGCAAAAAAAAAAAAACAAGGAGGATTGGCAGATGTTAGCACAGGGCTGATCTCACAAAATAAATAAATAAACAATCACTAAAATAATAAAATAAAAAGGTAGAACTAATAAGTCACTTGTGAAAAAGATTTAATACTTTAAAAAGTGTTCAATTATTTTTTTAAAAAGGCAGGAAGAGAGGAAATAATAGATGGACAAATAAAAACAAAAAGCAAGGTAGTTCATCTAAATCCAGCTTTATCAATAATTAACTTTCTGTAATGATGGAAATGTTCTATATCTGCACTGTCTGATACGGTAGCCACTAGCCACCTGGGGCTATTCAGCACTTGAAATGTGGCTAATGCAGCTGAGAAACCAAAGTTTTAATTTTATTTAACTTTAATTCACTTTAATTAAAGCATAAACAGCCACATGTGGCTAGCAGCTACTGTATTAAATAATATAGGTCTAAATATTCCAAGTAAAAATAGATATTGTCAGACTGGATTAAAGGGCAAGATCTAAATATAAGCTGTCTAAAAAACCTCAATTTAAATATCAAGACACAGGTAAGTTAGATGTAAAAGGATGGAAAAAGATAAAACTATATAAACACTAATCTTAAATAAGTGGGAGTGGCTACATTAATACCAGAAAAAAGTAGACCTCAGAAGAAGGAATATTACCAGGGATAAAGAAGGACACTTCATGAGAACAGTCAATTCATCAGGTAGACAAAATACTCACGAATGTGTACGCACTTAATAAAAGTGCTTCAAAATACACAAAGCAAAAACTGATAAAAGTGAAAGAAAAAACAGACAAATCTACAATTATAGTCGGAGATTTCAACATTCCTCTCTCCATATTGATAAAATAATAGAGAACCAACAGAAATATAGAAGACTTAAAGAGCACTATCAACCAACTTGACCTAAATAACAATGATAGAACACCTCACCCAACTACAGCAGAATAGATATTCTTTTCAAGTATACATGAAACAACCAAGAAAGACCTATACTGGGCCATAAAACAAGTCTCAGACAATTTTAAAGAACTGAAATCAAACAGATTAAGTTCTCTGACCAGAACATAATTAAATTAGCCACTAGCAATATGAAGATATCAGGAAAACTCCCAAATATTTGGAAATTAAACAGCAGATTTCTAAATAACTCATAGGTCAAAGAAGAAATCACAAAAGGCATTAGAATATATTTTAAATTAAATAAAAACGAAGACACACATATCAAAATTTGTGAGATGCAGCTAAAGAAACACTTAGAGGGAAATTTATAACTTTAAATGCTTATATTAGAAAAGAAGAGGGCCGGCCCCATGGCTTAGCAGTTAAGTGTGCGCGCTCTGCTGCTGGCGGCCCGGGTTTGGATCCTGGGTGCGCACCAACGCACTGCTTCTCCGGCCGTGCTGCGGCTGCGTCCCACAGACAGCAACTAGAAGGACGTGAAGCTGTGACATACAACTATCTACTGGGGCTTTGGGGGAAAAATAAATAAATAAATAAAATTATAAAAAAAAAAAGAAGAAGATGGGCTGGCCCTATGGCTTAGCGGTTAAGTGCTCGCGCTCCGCTGCTGGCGGCCGGGGTTCGGATCCCCGGCGCGCAGAGACGCACCGCTTCTCCCGCCATGCTGGGGCCGCGTCCCACATACAGCAACTAGAAGGATGTGCAGCTATGACAGACGGCTGTCTACTAGGGCTTTGGGGGAAAAATAAATAAATAAAATTTTTAAAAAAAAAAAAAAAAAAAGAAGAAGAAAGGTCTAATGTCAATGGTCTCAGCTTTTACCTTAAGAAGCTAGAAATATAAAAGCAAATTATACTCAAATAAGTAAAAGAAAGGAAACAATAAAGATAAAAGAGTGTAAATCGGGGCCAGCCCGGTGGCACAGCAGTTAAGTTCGCGTGCTCCGCTTCAGCAGCCCGGGGTTCGCAGGTTCGGATCCTGGGCGCAGACTGATGTACCATTTGTCAAGCATGCTGCAGCGGTGTCCCATATAAAGTAGAGGAAGATGGGCATGGATGTTAGTCCAGGGCCAATCTTCCTCAGCAAAAAGAGGAGGATTGGCATCAGATGTTAGCTCAGGGTTAATCTTCCTCCCTCTCCCCTCCCCCCAAAAAAAAGAGTATAAATCAATGAAACATAAAAAAGGTTAAATATAGAAAACAATGAACCAAAAGCTGGTTCTTTGAAAAGAGCAATAAAATTAATAAGCCTCTAGCTAGATCAATCAACGAAAAAAGAGAAAACACACATTTCCAGCACATGAATAAAAGGGGACATCACCACAGATCCTCCAGACATGAAATAGTATTTAAAAACTCTATGCCAATAAACTCAACAGCTTAGATTAAATCGACAAATTTCCTGAAAGGAAGTCAACATTGTTTTAATATTTAAAAATCAATCAATGTAATTAATCATATTATAAAATAAAGGAAGTAAATAATATGAGCATCTCCATAGATGCAGAAAACAAACTTGACAAAATTCAACACCCATTCGTGATTTTAAGAAAACTTCTCAGCTAATTAAGAGCATAGAAGAACAGCCTCAACTTGATAAATTTATGAAAATGTATTAAGAATATGATAAAACTTATAGTTAAGCTCATACTTAAAAGGCTGAATGCTTCCCCTGTAAAATCGGGAACAAGAAAAGGACATCCACCCACACTACTTCTATTTACATTGTACTAAAGATACTAGCCTGTGTACCAAGAAGAAATACAAGGCACACAGATTAGAAAGGAAGAAGTAAAAATGTCTTTATTCACAGATGACATGATTGTGTATGTAAAAATTCCTAAGGACTCAACAAAAAAGATGCTGAAATTTAAAAGTGAATTTAGCAAGATCACAAGATAAAAGGTCAACATAAAAAACTGTATTTCTACATGCAAGGTCTGTGCACGGAAAACTATAAACAGCATTGTGGAGAGAAATTAAAAGAAAAGCTAAAGAATGGAGGAATATACCATGTTCCTATATTGAAGATTCAACACTGTGAAGATGTCAGTTCTCCCCAGATTGATCTTTAGATTCAGTGCAATCCCAACAAACACCCCAGCAGGCTTTTTTGCAGAAATTGACAATCCGATTCTAAAATTTATATGGAAAAGCACATAAAATGCATAAATCCTAAAAGAACCAAAATAATTTTGATAAAGAAAAACAAAGTTGGAAAACTTACAATGCCTGACTTCAAGACTTACTACAAAGCTACAGTAAGTAAGACAGTGTGGTACTGGCACAAGGATAGACATATAGATCAATGGAACACAAAAAAGAATCCAGAAACAAACTCACACATGATTCCCTGGGGCCATACTGACTGAGATGGGGAAAACTCTACAGGTGACAGAAATGTTCACTATGTTAACTGTAGTGGTTACAAGGTATATACATTTGTCAAAACTCACGACACTTGTACACTTTACTGTGCACTTAAAATGGATGCAGTTTACTGTATGTAAATTATACCTAAAAAAGATGTTTTTAACATATATTTAGAAACAATCTCCAAAACTTATCTTGGTTACTAATGTGAATCTGACCTAGAAGGAAACTAACATTTATTCAGAGCCTATAATGTGCCAGACACCAGGCTCTGCATATAATTGTCACAATCATTTTCTCTTTTTTTTTTTTTTGTGAGGAAAATGAGCCCTGAGCTAACATCTGCCAATCCTCTTCTTTTTGCTGAAGAAGACTGGCCCTGGGCTAACTAACATCCATGCCCATCTTCCTCCACTTTTTGTGGGACACCGCCACAGCATGGCTTGCCACGCAGTGCATCGGTGCGCGCCCGGGATCCGAACCGCAAACCCTGGGCCACGGCAGCGGAGCGCGCGCACTTAACCGCCTGCGCCACCGGGCCGGCCCCTCACAATCATTTTCTAAGGTAGAAATTACTTACCAGATTTTTACTTTTGAAGAAATGTTGGGCATTTGCAAACTCACCCACCTAGTAAGCAGGGAGTGAAGAGTCAAGCCTAAGTATATCTCTAACGCCTGTGTTGCTACAATTGCCATCCTCTCATGATGTCTCTCTATAGGAACTTTTTCACCCAACCTACTACTATCCACTAAAATCATTTTTTAAACCTAACTTGTTTTTTTTTTAACTTTCCAAGACAAGTCAACTCGAGAATAGAGGGCAAGAAAAATCATGAACCTGGATCATCCATAAGCCAGCTCCTGAAAAATGACAAGTCACCCCTATGTGCTAAATACTTCAAACTACAGTATAAAACATACTTATACACTAGACTCATACAAGCATATTTCAATATCTGAGCCTTTCCAGCATCACACAGCAAGTTAAGTGCATCACACAGCAAGTTAAGTGATAAAACTGTCGGTAATGCTCTTCACTGGTAGAATTCTCCCACTGGGATTTTTAAACTTTGAAATTCTACACTACTTGGTTGAACCACCTATCTGTTATTCTGTTAAAAACAAAAATTCCGAAATTTAACATCTAAAAGTGCACGGCAAATGAACCATATATCATAACCAAAATCTTTATTGCCATAAATGTTACAAAAGGCATCAAAATATCAGAGGGAGGTGGTAGAAAATACAGGAGTCTTAAAAAAATTCAATATTCAAGAGGGAGGTGACGGAAAAGATCCAAAAACTTCAAGATAGAGGAGCTAAAGGTGAGAAACATATATGTGTACTTATCTTTGGTGTTAACACTACCTTACGTAAAAGAAAAAGAAAAATACATTTTTACTAACTCACGGAAACAATACTTACAGTTATGTGAACACTGAGGAATCATCATCGCAATGTTGAAATATTCAAAGCAAATTCCACACCGCAGCAAATCATCTATTGTCTGAAATGCAAAAATGCATATACAGCTATCAAAAAGACACCAAGATTGGAACGTCTGCCACAGAACTCCTTCTCTATACCCTAAAAAAATAATTTAGTAATACTCCTTTGTCAAAGACACAAACTCAAAAGCGAACTCCACATAAACTGCAGTAGATCTTGAGAAACAGAGAAAAACCTCCCCCATGTGACCTACACATTCAAATCTCAGGTTACCCAAAATGCTCTAGACAGACAAAGCTGACACTGTACAGATTCCTGTTCATATGGTCGACCCTTCACAAAAACGCTACTCTATTCCTGCTCCACTTTCCATGTGTTTCCAGCTCTTACTCCAAGCATCCTCCTCTTCAGACCCCAATCCTACAGTCACCACAGAGGTTAAGAACCAAATCAGAGAATACCAAAGCCAAACATTAGAAATTATCTAGTTAAAACCCTTACTTCACAAATGAGCAGACTTGTATCTAAAGCAGGCACACACATTGAGCATGAGTCATGCCAGAAGTAAACTTCCCGTCTCCCTACTGGCGGTCAGTCCAGTGCTTTCTACACAGTACTATAGGTTCCGACACGGTGGAGCCAAATGAGGAAGCCCTGGCCAGAGCTGGGGCCAGGGACAGCAGAGGGAGGTGAAGAAGTAGGCCACCTGGAAAGTCAGATAGATGTGTGTCAACCCGGAATGCAGTCCAAACAGGAAAGAATCTATTCTCACAACCTAAAATCTTCTAAACCTTTTAAAATAAAATGCTATTCCAGGGGCCGGCCCGGTGGCGCAAGCGGTTAAGTGCGCGCGCTCCGCTGCGGCGGCCCGGGGTTCGCTGGTTCGGATCCCGGGCGCACACTGACGCACTGCTTGGCAAGCCATGCTGTGGCGGCGTCCCATATAAAGTGGAGGAAGATGGGCACAGATGTTAGCCCAGGGCCGTCTTCCTCAGCAAAAAAAGAGGAGGATTGGCGGATGTTAGCACAGGGCTGATCTCCTCACAAAAAAAAAAGAAAAAAAAATGCTATTCCATTCAATAGACTACTGAGCAGATATGTAAGAGACAAAAAAAGAAAAGAGGGAGCTCTCTTATGCACTGATATGGAAAGATTACCAAGACAGCTGAAAAAAGGATGTACATATGGTATGCTACCTTTTGTTAAAAAGGGAGGGGGAAATAAGAATGTATTCTATTTTTATCTTTTATATAAAAAAAAATTCTGAAAGGATACTTGAGAAAGTAATAAATAATGGTTACAAGGGTCAGGAAACTGGATAGATGAGGGACAAGTTGGGAGGTAGACTTTTACTTTTCATTTCACGTATTTTTTGAACCATGTGGGTATATTACTTAAATTTTTAAAATACAACAAAAACGACTAATGTCACCAATAGTCCATATAATGAAATATTACATAGTCATTAAAAAAAAAAAAACATGCTTTCAAAGAATAATTAATGCCATGGGAAAATGTTTATGTTTTAAAGGAAACTTTAAAAAATCAGAGAACAAATCTACGACAATAATGCATAATAATAGAACTATACAGTTTAATCTCATAACAATCTTAGGAAGTCTATAGCATCTGTATCCCAGTTTTATAGATGAAGCCTACAGAGCTTATAAGTGGCTGGATCAAACTCAAGAAATTGACTCCAAAGTGACCCCAAATTTTAAATGCATATACACATTGCAGGTATGTGTGTGCACAAGGCACACACAAGAAAAACTAAAGGAAAATAGAAAACGTTAAACAGTGGTTATCTCTGGATGGCAGGATGATGGGTAATTTTCATTTTCCCCTTTATCTTACTCTGAATTTTTATGTTTTTCTACTATACACACATGCTACATTTATAATCTGTCAAAAATAGAAATTTTTGTTACAATAAAACTAGAGAAATAAACATTAAAATGCCAAAATCTTCCATTATTTTGGATGGTAAGCCAGCACTGACACAAAAAGCTGGATTGTGTTGAAGACCAGTTAAGAGCAGAGGCAGGGCTGGAAGCCAGAGCCCTGGCCTCAACTCTGTTGAACTTGCTTCTACATAACCATCCTCTTCCGGAGGAGTGGCTCTGATAGATCTGCTGAGCAAAATTTGTGGAAGGTGACACCACATCAAATGAGTTGTAACAAGCCTGTATAAATTTCTAGTCATGCCATTTCAAGCCAGTAACATGCATACCACGTGTGCCTCAACCAAAAAAAAAAAAAATAGCCTGAATAGAGAGCGGTCAAGTGGATTTGCCCAGGATTTCTTTAACTTAGAGAGACAAAGTAAAAAGGGGAAGTGGGGAACGGGTGGAAAGACTAAATAATTAGAGGAAAGGTTCTTAAGTTTTTTGGGTCACAGATCCTTTTGAAAAATGGATGAAAACTATGGACTCTCTTCTCAGAAAAACATACACATAGACAAAAATTTTATAAATAATTTCAGATACCAAAGTCTTTCCATGGATCCTAGGTCTGGAACCAAGGATTCAGGAGTCAGATTTCTATTCAACATAAGAAAGAACTTCAAACAGAGCTACTTCCAGGAGCAGGTAGTTCTTCATCCGTGGAAGAGTTCAAGCAAAAGCTAGATGAGAAATTGGCAGATATGCTATAAAAGGGATTAAAATACTGGAGGGAGCTGGCTTTCCAACCTTAAGATTCCATGATTCTAATATGGGCTCAATCAACTCCATCACTGAACACTCTCTGGTGCTGTCCCTGTATTAAGTGCTGTGGTGACATACTAAAACCAGAGGAGATGTGGAACGTGCCTCTAAAGAACATATGGAATATATAAATATGTAAAATATGCTTAAATCTACAAAGCAGGTGCTTTACAAGTTACAGAGCTTTCACTTCCTTTATCCAATTCAGTCTTCACAACAACAAATACAAAGGAGGGGAGAAACACTTAACACGTGAAGGGCTAATAATAACAATAAAGATATATAATTGAACGCTTACTACCTTCCAGACACCTTGAATCAATTAGCAAACAATTTCTGAGCATCCACTATGTGCCTGGCACTCAGTTATGCACAATGAAAAAAGCCAAACAGGATCCCTATCCAGATACATCAATTCATTTAACCAACCCTATAAACTGTTTATTTTTGTCTCAGGTTTAGAGTTGAGGAAATTCAAGCTCAGAGAGATTAAGTAACTCACTCACCATCACACGGTTAAATAAGAGGCAGAGACCAGATTTAACCCAGGAGCACTGGAACTCAAATCTATGCTCTTCTCCATTGCAGCTTGGTGCCAAGGCCACCACAACTTCAAAACTACAGCTTTCGTGGATCCTTCCACAATGTCAGCTTTTCACCATGGGGATATCTCAAGTCCCCAAACACTGTAGATGACACTGATGACAGAAGGACAAACAAGGCCTTATACTTACTTTAACCTCTCTCAAGTCCCCTTACTTGACTCTCAAAATCAGCCTTACGAGTCAGTGGGACAGGTACCATAATCCCCAAGTTTACAAAACTGAGGAACAAAACGAGAACGCGATCTTGCCCACAACCACAAACTGAAATAATCACCGAGCAGGGAGCAAAACCAAGCAACTGATTCTTAGGTAACACAGCAAAGGGTATTCGCTCTTGACTAAACCTAGCAGGAATCCAGGGATCACCACTAACGTAAATGGAAACTGATATGCCCTGCTAAAAACAAAGTAGCCACAAAAATGTGTTATTTAAGTGAAATAATTCAATGAAATGAAAGGCTAGTGCTGAGCCTGAGTCCTGATCTCTTTGTTTAAAAGAGAGATGCACAACTGTTAGGAGTTAGGAGACATTAGGGAGGAGTTAGGACAAACCAGCGCTAGGCTTCCTGAGTGTAATTAGAAGAAACCAAAGAGAATGTAAAGGAGACTACCTGCTTCGCTAGGCGATTAAATAAATGTTATTTGATGCAGGGTCCACCCAAAATCACGTCTGGTGTCACTTTGGGAAATCTCAACCAACATACTACGAGAGTTTACATAATGCTTGGCAGATAGCAAGCCCTCAGGAAGGATTAGTTGTCATTGTCATTCTCATTGTTGAGAATAACTGTTTTTCTCGGTTGTGGCCGAACCGCAGAATACCCGGTTCCATACGACGGCCAACTTCAACTCACGTAAGGGACCGAGGCCTGTCCCTGTTACTTCTCAGGGGAGGAAACTGAGGCGCAGAGCCACGCAGTCGGCAAGCGGCAGAGCAGAGCCGGGTACCCTGGCCCAGCTCCCTGCTCGCGCCTCCTCCCTTCTCCTCCTCAAGGCGGGGCAGGCCTCCCGCGGACACCCGGGCGCCCCCAACCTCCCCGAAGCACTCACTTTCATGACTGCCAGGCCTGGAGGCCACCGAGGCTCAACTACGGAGTCCATGGTCTCTCCTACGGAGGCTGGGGGTCCGCCAACCACTGGCCTCTCGCGCTCCACTTCCACTCGAAATTCCCCGCGCTACTGAGCTACGTCAGTATTCCGCGACGCGCCAAAACCGTGCGCAGAGCCTGCCGGGAGTTGTAGTACGTGGGCGGAGCTCAGCCAAAGATGCTCTCACTGCGCACGCGCCAGGCTGCTGCTTGGCAGCTCGCGACAAGAGGTGAGTAGTTAAAAAGCCCGCTTCCGGTTTTATACCAGACCTTTAATAAATAAATGACTGTTGAATATTGGAGAAGACAACCAGGAATCAAACTAAATCCAGGCCTTGCCAAATCTTTCAATGTCTAGACTCATGCCTCCTTCTTCGAGTCACCCTCCCTGATTGCTCTAGTGATCTATCCTTGCCCTGAACAGGGGATTTCATATATGTTATTTCATCTCACCCTATCACAGCACAAGGAGGTAGGTATTATTGCTGGTTTACACAGGAGGAAGCTTTGGCTCAAAAACGTGAATAGGCTGTCATTGCGTCACGCGGTGTCACTGACCAGACTACAAATAGGGCCTCGGGACTTCAAATGGGAGCTCTTTCTTTTATGACTTTAAAATCTTCTTAAAGTTATTCCTTTTCTTTAGAGATAACCACCTTAACTTTGTGTAGCCTTCCAGATATTTCCTATTCAGATACATAGATACGATTTTTTCCACAAATGTTATTATATTAAATGCATAGCTCTATCAACTTGAGTTTTTCTGTTTATTTAATCATACATCTTGAGACCTCTCCATGTTAATACATATAGGTTTACCTCATTCTTTTTAATAGCTGCACAGTCCGTAGTATAGATGTAACACAATTTCTTTATCTACTCCCGTACTGAGGAATGTTTAGGTTGTTTTCAGTTTTTCACTATTGCAAAGAGTTGCAATGAACACACTATCTATATAAATCTTGGCATACTTGAGCCAGCATATCTGGGAGATGATTTCCTATAAATGGAACTACTAAGTATATTTGGATGCTCTATTAAAACTGTGATAGCTAGCACTACATGATTTTTCCAAAAAGGCCATACCAATACATTTACATTCTTACCAAGAGTGCCCATTGTCCAAATGTGAAGCGCTGACTAGCGCACCACCCAGCGTGTCTGCTCAATTCAGCACTCATCCACTGCCTTAGGTGGGCCTCCATTGCGTCAGGTCTCATGGGCAGCAAGTCAGCAGTCATGTTGCTCAGGGCAGACCCCTGCAGCTTGCCACTGCCCCCTCACGTGGTCCATGCACTCATTCATTCAACAAATATTTTTCTAAGTGCTTCCATTGGGCAGGCACTCAAGCTTCCCTGTGAAGTCAGCAGAGGTAAGGTTATTATTGCCATTTTACAGACAAGGACACTGAGGCTCAGAGAGGTTAAGTCTTCCATCCTTTGGGCTGTCATCATAAGGAACTCTGGCCTCTGAGCCAGAGCTGTACTCAACTGATTTTTCCCAGCCTGTGCCCAAATACTCAGTGGGCAATAATAATAATCTTAGCAGCATTTGGACAAAAGACTTTAATATCCATTAAAACAATAGCTGACATTTGTTAGACACTTGTATGGAAAGCACTGTTATAGGTGTTTTTACACATATATACTTACTTCAGATCCACTCCAACCAAATGGGAAAAGGGAAGTAAACAGGAAACTTACATAGGGCACTTTGCTGGTGAGAGGAAAAGGAAGGATTTGGACTTACCAAAGTGGGACGACACTATAAAATGGATGATCTGCAAAGTCCTCTCTGAGAAGGTGACATTTGTTCTGGGACCTAACTGATAAGATAGAGGCCACTATGCAAAGACCTGGGGTGGAAAGTTCTAGACCTTGGTAAAGAGTTTGGATTTTAATCCATGTTAACTCTCAGGCCAGCTATTGAACCTTTCTGTGCCTCAGTTTTCTCATCTGTAAAATGGGGATGATGATAATAGTTCTTGTGTTATAGGGATGTTGTGAGAATTAAATGAGCTATTGTAAGTCAAGTGCCTAGAACAGTGCCTGGCACCTAAGGAGCACCGTGTAAGTGTCAGCTGTTGTTGTTGCTATGTTGCCCTAAGCACAGGAGGAAGCCCCTGGAGGGTTTCAGGCAGGGAGGTAACATGATCTGATTTACATTCTCAAAAGGTCGCTCTAGCTGCTGAGTGAAGAAGGGGTTTTAGGGGGAAAGAGCAGAAGTACCAATCAGGAGGTGGTGACAAGGGGTTGGACCAGGGTGGCGGCAGTCAGGAGAGGAGGAAGTGCTGTGGGCCCCGTGCTTGCTGTGGACTCACAGTAAGGCCTTGCTTTGTCCCTGTGACCAGGCCCCATCCTGATCCTCCTAGACGTGGACCTGCCTTGTTCTCACCAGTCCCTTCCACCTTGGAGCCCAGCCCTAGGGCCAGGAGGCATAGTTTACATTGACGGACTGTGTCCATCACCTGCTCACCTGCCTGTTAGACCAGCACCTCTGGGAGCTTCTCCCTGAGACTGGTTACCTGCCTGTCACCACAGCATCCTCTTAGGAGGTGTCCCAACTCCTCCTATTGATACTTGCAATAAGTGTTTACAGAGAACTCACTATATGCCCAGGCAAGGGGGACAAGCAGTAAATTAGACAAACAATATCTGCCCAAATCAAGATCTACAAATGGGAAGAGCTTTGAGATCAGAGAGGAAGAACTTTTAAGAGAGGGAGCTGTATTAGTCAGGATTCTTTTGGTTACAAGTGTTGAGTTAGATTGCCAACTCAAAATGGCCTAATCAAAAAAGGGAATATATTAGCTCATGTAACTGAAAAGTCCAGGAGTAAGTATTCAGGTGTGGCTTGATCGGGGTGTCATCAGATTGGGCTCTTTTCCTTCCTCTCAATCTGTCTTTCTTAATGCCTTATATCTGTTTTCCTCAGTGTTGGCTTATTGCTCAGGCAGACTCCTCCCATGTGGTGGCAAGCATGGCCTCCAGATGCTCCAGGCCTATATTCTACTAGCACAACTGCTTCAGCAGAAAGAAAGCACGTCATTCCCAACAGTCCCCAGCAAAAGTCCCAGGACTGAATCTCATTGGCCAGAATTGGGTCACATGCCCATCCTTGAACCAATCATTGTGCCTCTGATTGTCTAGATCTGAGTTTGGGGGTAGGAGTGGATGCCCCAAATGAACACAGGGGTGCTGTATAGTCAAAGAGAGAATGGATGCCTATAAACATGCAGATTGCAAAAATGGTTGCAAATTCCTCTCCTTCCTATATCTACACCTCTTCACAGTATGACTCCTTCCAAGAAGTGGATCTGTTTCTCTGCTCCTCGAATCTGGGGGCTTGGTCATGTGACTTGCTTTAGCCAGTGCGACATTAACAAAGGTGAGGCAAGCAGAGGCTTGTGAAGTACCTGTGCACTGGAGCTGGCCCTCTCCTTGCTGCTCTTGGGAGCCTTCTAACCACCACCATGTGAACAAACCCTAACGATCCTCCTGGATGATGAGAGACAGGTGGCCAAGCCATCTTTGTCACCCCAGCTGACATTGGGCCACCTACAAGACGTGAGTGAGGCCGTCCTAGATCATCCAGCCCCAGCCAAGCCACCTGCTTACCACAGAGATCAGCTCAGCCAGCCCTGACCAGAAAACTGCTCAACATACCCACAGGATCTGGTAAATAATAAATGTTGATTATCTTAAGCCACTAAGTTTGGGGATGGTTATTACACAACAATGACTAACTGTTACAGTGACCCTCCGCAGCAGTCTTCTGCCTGTCCGGAGCCTGGCTTTGGAGGCCCCAGATACAGAAGGGCTGGAGCCCCAGTCCCGCGGTCCCTCCTCTCCCCCATAGCAATCTTCTCCTGCTCTCTTTGATCCCAGGACTTATCTACAGTCTGCTTCCAGTCTTCTGCTGGACTTGATGGGTGCCGGGGACAGGACAACCCTTCCTGTGAAGAGCAACTCTTACGCAACTATCCCTGTCTCTGTAGGCTCCCAGCCATTCCTCCTTACAAGCAGGCAGCCATCTACCTGGAACGAATTGAAGAGTGTGTAGCTGAGTCCTCGGCCAGAAAACCTCCACCATCTGTCATGGTGTCTGGAAACCCCCCACTCCCCCCCAACCCCAATTTAAGCTCCAGTTCTTTGGTTTTCAAAGGCTGTTTGGATTCCCAGATCCCCCTGGGAGAGTTGAATGTTTCTCTAGGGGTGCTAAAGCAGAGTGCACCTCTTATGTTACAGCAGAAACACACTATATGTAATGATTTCGTCTTCCCAATTAGACCACCCGTGCCCTAGCACAGCTCTGAATGTAGTAGGGGCCCAACAAATGCTCACTGGGTGGATCACCTGGAAAAATACCAAATGAATGTCTGGCCCCAGAGCTCTGGGGCCCTGGGACACAGGGAGTTCCTGGGGCTAAGGGAGAAAGCAAGGAACTGTGGAAAGGCGACAAGGTGGAACTCACCAAAGACAGAATTCTCACTAACCAACATGGTCTATATTGACTAAGGGGACAGGCTTGAGAGTCACACAGACCTCGGTTAGCATCCATGTTCTTCCGCTCACCGTGTGATCTTGGGTCAGTCACTTACCTTTCAGAGCCTCAATGTCCTCTTCTGAAAGATTAGAATAATAACACCTACCCCAGAGGGTTGTTATAATGATAATGCTTTTAAAATGTTGGGAAGCACCTTGCAGGGCATCTGACACATAGTGAGCAGCTGGCTATGGCAGTAGGAGTAACAGTTATAATTATTACTGTTATTGTCACTAATACGCATTATTAACCGGAGACAGAGGGCATAGAGGGTAAGAGCACCAGCTCTGAAGTCTGACTGCCTGGGTTCACATCTCAGCTCCTCCGCTTACTAGTGCATGGATTGTGGTCTCCAAATACTGTACCCAAGAAAAAGATTCAGGGCTCTTTGGGGACATGGCTGATTTTAGGTCTGGGGCAGAGTAGGTGCAGGATGAGCCTGGAGCATTGTATTGTGCCCCCAAACAAGGAAGTTGTCCAAAACTAATGGACACAAGAGCCAGCTTGAAGTTGCTCCCACTGACTTAAG